GTTATAGTCTTGATACTAAGAGTTCTGATGAAATGCTCAAGCGTGTCTAGCATCTTCCAAAAAACATTCTCAGGTGCTGATACTATCGCGTGATAGATGATATGCGATGCAACAGAGAGCGGAAGAGAGAGGGAGACAGAAAAATAGGCATTTTACTGCTATTATGTGTCCTCAATCACTCAGTCAAAGGCATCTCCTATATAATGTGTATCAGTATAACTATCTACTGTGAACATAGTGAAAGGATAAATGACGCAATTCAGGGATATAAAATGTTGCATAACTTTGCAGTAAGAAACAGCATTGGCTATGCACATGCAATCTATCTAGGCTATATACAAGAGTGCTTGAAAGTGAGCTTTAGGTAATGTTTGTAAGGTATAGTAGTATGTGTGTATGAATTGTAGATATACTTTTTTTTACCCTGTATTTTTTAAACCAATTTTGGTGCTACAGCATGGATATTGCTCAAGATTCAATCAGAAGTCAATACCCCTTCAATTAACTAAAATGGGAATGGGTTCAAATGTACTTCACCAGACCATGGATTCAGTAGCTTGTTACCTGATATGGAAGGGATAGCTTTAAAGATTAGGTGGCTTTTACATTGTCTTTAGTCAAAGTGGTCATCCGTCTTAATCCAATCAGTGCAAATTCAGCACCAATTTAACACAAATCTATTCAATTGTAATACTCTACAAATACAAGATAATAGCCAATAGAATAGCAACGATCAAGTAGCTAAATCATATATTATTAATTTATACATAAGATATTTATGCTGTCCAGTATTCTGATGTTGCATTAAAAACTATTACAGTGAGGGAAAAAAGTATTTGATCCCCTGCTGATTTTGTACGTCTGCCCACTGACAAAGACATGATCCGTCTATAATTTTTATGGTAGGTTTATTTGAACAGTGAGAGACAGAATAACAACAACAAAATCCAGAAAAACGCATGTCAAAAATGTTATAAATTGATTTGCATTTTAATGAGGGAAATAAGTATTTGACCCCTCTGCAAAACATGACTTAGTACTTGGTGGCAAAACCCTTGTTGGCAATCACAGAGGTCAGACGTTTCTTGTAGTTGGCCACCAGGTTTGCACACATCTCAGGAGGGATTTTGTCCCACTCCTCTTTGCCGATCTTCTCCAAGTCATTAAGGTTTCGAGGCTGACGTTTGGCAACTCGAACCTTCAGCTCCCTTCACAGATTTTCTATGGGATTAAGGTCTGGAGACTGGCTAGGCCACTCCAGGACCTTAATGTGCTTCTTCTTGAGCCACTCCTTTGTTGCCTTGGCCGTGTGTTTTGGGTCATTGTCATGCTGGAATACCCATCCACGACCCATTTTCAATGCCCTGGCTAAGGGAAGGAGGTTCTCACCCAAGATTTGACGGTACATGGCCCCGTCCATCGTCCCTTTGATGCGGTGAAGTTGTCCTGTCCCCTTAGCAGAAACCCCCCCCAAAGCATAATGTTTCCACCTCCATGTTTGACGGTGGGGATGGTGTTCTTGGGGTCATAGGCAGCATTCCTCCTCTTCCAAACACGGCGAGTTGAGTTGATGCCAAAGAGCTCGATTTTGGTCTCATCTGACCACAACACTTTCACCCAGTTCTCCTCTGAATCATTCAGATGTTCATTGGCAAACTTCAGACGGGCCTGTATATGTGCTTTCTTGAGCAGGGGGACCTTGCGGACGCTGCAGGATTTCAGTCCTTCACGGCGTAGTGTGTTACCAATTGTTTTCTTGTTGACTATGGTCCCAGCTGCCTTGAGATCATTGACAAGATCCTCCCGTGTAGTTCTGGGCTGATTCCTCACCGTTCTCATGATCATTGCAACTCCATGAGGTGAGATCTTGCATGGAGCCCCAGGCCGAGGGAGATTGACAGTTATTTTGTGTTTCTTCCATTTGCGAATAATCACACCAACTGTTGTCACCTTCTCACCAAGCTGCTTGGCGATGGTCTCCCTTTAAGAGTGTGCTCCTAATCTCAGCTTGTTACCTGTATAAAAGACACCTGGGAGCCAGAAATCTTTCTGATTGAGAGGGGGTCAAATACTTATTTCCCTCATTAAAATGCAAATCAATTTATAACATTTTTGACATGCGTTTTTCTGGATTTTTGTTTTGTTTTTCTGTCTCTCACTGTTCAAGTAAAGCTACCATTAAAATTATACAAACGTACAAAATCAGCAGGGGATCAAATACTTTTTTCCCTCACTGTAAACCTTCATTTTAAACAAAATAGCAAAGTAGAATCATACTTGTATTTTGCATTATTATTTACAATAGCTGCAATAAAAAATAAAAAAAAACGCTTTTGTTATACTTGAACTTTTTCTCATGTAATTATAGTTGTGCTTTTTCTTTCAGACACAAATCATGTTTGACTTACTCTCTTGAGTTCCTCTCACAGACATCCTAAATCGGATACAACACGAGGTAGCGATATTGCTAGCAGACGCTGTCCCCAACAACAACTATGCCACGTCCCAGAATTCCTGGGACTGTTTCACCCCTTCATAACCTTTGCTTTGACCTTTGTCTATACACACACACCAATTATACAGAATGCCTTCATTAATAATATGCAGAACCTGATCGGACTAGAGTTGAAACCAGTGGGAGGCCTTAGTGGAATTGTTTATCAGACATTGTAATGGGTGTATTAATATACTGTTTCTGAAGCAAATGGACTGGTGATGGAAGTCTTTGTAACGTATATTTGCAGCAAATGGACAGATGAACATCTCTCACTGATGTTATCTGAACGGTCGGGGAACGGTTCTGTGTTTTTCCTGTTCAGACTGAATAGATTGAATACATCCGGGATATAGGCCTATTTGACAGTACAATTCTAATAGAACTTAGACAATACAATCATCATGAAATGTAAGCGGTTCAGCAATCACGATGTTGGATAAGAATTATGTTCTGTTTTGCATTATGACTTTGCCGCTTTATTGTAATCTAGTCATTCATCCTCACCTATCTGGAATACAACGCTTTGCAAAAGATGCTGCACTGAATTGAGATGAAGTAGCTACTGTTATTCATTTAGAGATTCTGGGTGGGATGTGTGGTTCAAATAAATGAATCCCACAATACATATTGTGTTAAAAGGAAATGTGTAAACCTTCTCCCATAAAGACAGTGATGAATGCAGCAGCAAGTGCATTGAATCTTAATAACTTGCTGGCTTTGTTGGGGCTCCAGTCTCAATAAGCAGTGTTTTTAGTCTGTCAGGAAAGCTGACAGACTAAAATTAGCATTTATCAATTCAGCACTGAGTTCATTTTGGCTAACAGGGCCGTGGAGTCAGGCAAAATAGTAATGAAAAAAGGAAGGGTGACATCATGCAGGTAATTCATTCTCAATAGGGCTGCCTTATCATATTCTTTCACAATCACTCTTGAGTCTGCCTTTATTAAAGGGCAGCGATCCAAACATTCAGGTCACTTCGAAAGGGATCATTGTCATGTCCCATCCGTCAGAGAAGTTCTAGAAGTCCCTGTTCCAAGGCTTGTTCCTGCAGTGACTGGGGTTGTAATGATAAACGTGCCCTAATGTGGAGGGTTTAGAATGGCCTGATGTGAAGTTGCCATTGTATTAGTTCCAGGTCATTTGTGTTGCAAGATGAGGGATGTAGTAAACATTTACTTTGCTGGATGATGTCATCAAAAGTGGCAGAGATTGGACACCTTGTTACATGCCCAGGGACACTACTAGCTTTTTTGCAAAGCATGGTGTTATTCAATCTACTAGCTTGTGTCAGTTAGCAAGAACTATGTAAGAAGATCTTGGGGGTTTTAGCTCTCCAACTCTGGTATTCTATAGAGGCTATATGCTGAGACAAGCGCTTTCACTGAGTTGGTGCCAAAGCCTTCTGCCATGCCTGTACTTTCTGTTAATAGAGTCTCTCTGGATGTAATGAAATTGTAGCGGTGTAGGCCCATGTCAGATACTCTGGGCTTATGTTTGTCAGAAGCATTTCTCCGAAAATAAAGTTGTCTTTATTGGTTTTGTTAGTCTAGTATTACAATGTTATTTGTATAATTAATTTGGTCTATTACCATGTCATACTTTTTGCGGCTATGTCTATGTCCCCACATACAGCTTTGGTGGTAAGAACATTCAATGCTAATAAGAAAGATAGATCAAATATATTGTAGCTCTGTCAAAAATGTTTACATTTTTGTCATTAGAAGAATTCTGGGATTCATTTTTACAGGATTATAAAAAGATGTACTCAGAAATCAGTGTGCGCTCATTCCTTTTGGGCATTGTAATCTTAATCTATTTTCAACAAACATCATAATGTATTTTCCCTTAGTCCACCAAGTTATCTTAGATATTATCTCTGAGTCTGTGGTTCTTAGGCCAAGAGAGGCATGCATGGACTATACAGTCATTAATACTATCAATTGCCTCTTGGGCCAGCTAAGGAGAAATCCTGGCTTTTAAGTCTAATTTAAATGCATGTGTAATGGGGATCAGTCTGCTGCTAACAGCTTAGCTTCCTCCACTGTTCGACTGCCCCATACTGGGCTCAAACCAGTGATCCTCTGCTTCGCAACACACGTGACCGCCCTCCTTGAGAACGTTCCAACGTGTTGAGCCACCCAAAAGGTATCAATTGGATGGCCCTTATTATTATTATTATTATTATCCAAGACATTTCAAGCTAGCTGTGGAGTGAGCTTCCGATATGTTCTTCACTCCGTTACACATGCATTTCCTGTATGCACAGAATTCATGTGTTCTAATGAGCTAGGGTCTTGTATTGTTTCTTTAGGGATTAAGTCTAGTGCATTTAGACTGGCAATTTTTACACCAAGCATTTTTGTGTAGTTTACATTTAAAAAAGCAGTGATCAGGATTTGGGTTATGTCTGCGTGAGGGGGGGAGTAATTGAGGCTGAAGAGTAAAGATTGTCAGGGTGTCTGGTGGTTTGTGTCTGCGCTTTAAGAATACAATGCAGGAGCTCTCAGGCGGTGGTGCTCTCTGCAGTAGCATTGGGAACTGACGGGCTGATAGCCAGCTCGGCGCCCCTGGATGCCATTTTTGGCGTGGTGACACCCATCAGGTCTTCTTCAGGGGCGTCGGCCTCAGACTGGGCCTGGGTCACGGGGCTGGGGCTCATGGCCGAGTCGGGGGTCCGGTTTGCGCTCTGGTCTCCCTCGGGGATGATGGTGGCGGCCACGCTGTCGGAGTTGTCGAGGAGCAGCTTGTGGGAGGTGAAGGTCTGGGGTATGTCCGTCTCACATTCGCTGTCCAACGGGAGGGCGGAGGAGTTGAACTCTACCCCCGAGTCGCTCATCTCCAGGAAGTTCTTGTCCGAGGAGAAAGTGTGGTAGCGACCTGCTTTGGATACCTCCAGACCCTGTGGAAGGAAAGTAACGTGGGGGAAGGGGAGAGTAAAGAAAGGTTCAGCAAAAAAGGAACATGAATTATTAATTTCGTATGTTTCTGCAAATTTAGTTTAGGTGCTGCTTGGCATGGAGAGTGGTTATTTTCAACCTTTTATGGAAACATTGCCCCAGTATTTCTGTTTATGTCTGTCTACATTTCACACATTTGCAATTATAATGGTCTAATCTGTTTTCCTCTTGCACCTTAATATGCTCACTGGTAGACCACTTCCCACGCCATTATTGTCACAGATTCTGCCGAGACTGCTCCTCCTCCTAGTTCGGGCAGGCTTCGGCGTTCGCCGTCCCCGGAGTACTAGCTGCCACCGTTGAATGTTTCTTGGTGTGATTGCTTTGGTCTGTCTTTTACACCTGTGTCCGTTTGTGTCTGATTACGTGTCCTATAAGTTCCCTGTTTTGCATTGGTTAGATTGTGTGTTGTTTTTCGCCTGTCCGTAGTGCTGCGTGTTTTTGTATCTGTTTATTTGTTTATTTGTTATACGGATAGTTTGCGTATTGCTCGCCTCTGTTTTGTTGAGGCCGTTTACTGTATCCTTGCCTGGTGGTTTTTCACAGTAAATTTTGTTGGACTAAGCTTCGGTGTCCTGCGCCTGACTTCCACACATCATACACCTCAGCCTTGACAGAACAACACACCACTATGGAGTCAGCAGGAGCAGTGGCGGCACCCAAGTCGCTGGAGGATCGGATCAGCGACCAAGACACCATGATCCGGCAACTTGGGGCCGCCATGAACGAGGTGTCCAACACTCTGCGCCGGTTGGTTACTGGAGAGGTGCCCACGCCTTCTCACACCATCCCATCACCAACGGCCAGTCCTCCTCTCTCAGCACCGGAACCCAGTGGCATACGGCTCTCGCTCCCGAGGGCATATGACGGTTCTGCAGCCGGGTGTCAGGGGTTCCTCCTGCAGGTGGAACTCTACCTGGCTACCATACACCCAGCGCCCTCGGGATACGAGAGCGTCTCCGCCCTCATCTCCTGTCTATCCGGCAAGGCGTTGGAGTGGGCCAACGCCGAATGGAGGGGAATAGACGCCGCTACCATCACCTACGCGGAGTTCTCCCGCCGCTTCAGGGCTGTCTTCGATAACCCACCTGAGGGGAAGGCGGCGGGGGAGCGTCTGTTCCACCTCCGACAGGGGAAGAGGAGCGCACAGGAGTTCGCCCTGGAGTTCCGGACTCTAGCGGCGGATGCGGGGTGGAATGAGAGGGCCCTCATCGACCATTACCGGTGTAGCCTACGAGAGGACGTTCGTCGTGAGCTGGCCTGCAGGGACACCAACCTATCCTTCGACCAGTTGGTGGACATCTCCATCCGTCTCGACACCCTGCTGGCTACCCGCGGACGTCCCGAGTGGGGGTCGTCCATTCCACCCTCCAGCACCTCCGAGCCGATTCCCATGGAGCTCGGGGGTGCTGGCGCTAGAGAGAGGAGGAGAGAGAACCCGAGGGGGGCCATCCCCTGCACCAACTGTGGCCGTGGAGGACACACCGCGGCCAGGTGCTGGGGAGGGTCTCCTGGGAGAGGGGACAACAGGTCACGCACTGGGGAGTCATTTCAGGTGAGTAGGCGCCCCACTTACCCAGAGCTCTCTGTTGGTCACATGAGTATACCTGTGAGATTTCCACAGGTGGCACCTCATTCCCAGCATAAGGCGCTAGTAGATTCAGGCGCAGCTGGGAATTTTGTTGATCGTGCATTTTGTTATAGGTTAGGAATTCCCCTTCGGCCGGTAGAAGCCCCCTTTCCTGTTCACGCCCTAGACAGCCGGCCGTTGGGGTCGGGGCTGATCAGAGAAGTCACAGCACCACTTAAGATGACGACGCAGGGGGGTCATGAGGAGATCATTCAGTTTTATCTGATTGACTCTCCTGCGTATCCCGTGGTGCTGGGGCTTCCCTGGTTAAGCGCCCATGATCCTACCATTGCGTGGCAACAGAGGGCTCTTATGGAGTGGTCTGCCCAGTGTGTAGGGAGATGTCTAGGTGTTTCCTTAGGGGCGACCTCGGTAGAGAGTCCGAACCAAGTGCCCGCAATGCGCATTCCCCCTGAGTATGAGGATTTAGCACTTGTGTTCAGCAAAACGAGGGCAACACGGCTACCACCTCATAGACAGGGGGATTGTGCGATAGATCTCCAAACAGGAGCGGCACTTCCGCGGAGCCGTGTGTATCCCCTGTCTCAAGAGGAGACAGCGGCTATGGAGACTTACATAGCCGAGTCCTTGGCACAGGGATACATACGGTCCTCCACTTCCCCATTTTCCTCGAGTTTCTTCTTTGTGAAGAAGAAGGACGGGGGTTTGTGCCCGTGTATTGACTACCGTAGTCTCAATCAGATCACGGTTAAGTACAGTTACCCTCTTCCACTGATTGCGACTATGACAGAATCATTACGCGGAGCGCGGTTCTTCACAAAGTTGGATCTCAGGAGCGCGTACAATCTGGTGCGCATTAGGGAGGGGGATGAATGGAAGACAGCATTTAGCACTACCTCGGGGTACCACCCAGAGAGCAATGGGCAGGTTGAACGAGTCAACCAGAATGTGGGTAGGTTTCTGAGGTCCTATTGCCGGGACCGGCCGGAGGAGTGGTCTAGGTATATCCCCTGGGCAGAGATGGCCCAGAACTCTCTCCGCCACTCCTCCACCAATTTAACACCTTTCCAGTGTGTTTTAGGGTATCAGCCGGTCCTGGCACCATGGCACGAGAGCCAGATCGAGGCCCCTGCGGTGGACGAGTGGATTCGGCGCTCGGAGGAGACGTGGGACGCTGCCCATGTCCATCTGCAGCGGGCCATCCGTCAACAAAAGGCGAGCGCCGATCGCCACCGCAGTGAGGGACCGGTGTACGCACCGGGAGATCGAGTCTGGCTCTCGACTCGAAACCTGCCCCTCCGCCTGCCCTGCCGGAAGCTGGGTCGGCGGTTTGTGGGGCCCTTTAAAGTCCTGAGAAGATTGAACGAGGTGTGTTACAGGTTACAACTGCCTATTGAGTACAAGAATATTAACCCCTCGTTCCATGTGTCTCTTCTCAGGCCGGTGGTAGCTGGCCCACTCCAAGAAGATGAGATAGGAGAGACCCCTCCGCCCCCTTTGGACATCGAGGGGGCCCCAGCGTACAGGGTCCGGACCATCTTGGACTCGAGGCGCCGGATGAGTGGTCTCCAGTATCTCGTGGAGTGGGAGGGGTACGGTCCGGAGGAACGGTGCTGGGTGCCTAGGAGGGACATCCTAGATCCGTCCCTCCTGACTGAGTTCCACCGTGGGCATCCCACGCGCCCGGGTCCGCGTCCTCCTGGCCGTCCCTGAGGCCGGGGTCGGCGCACGGCTGGAGCCGCGCGTCAAGGGGGGGGGTACTGTCACGGATTCTGCCGAGACTGCTCCTCCTCCTAGTTCGGGCAGGCTTCGGCGTTCGCCGTCCCCGGAGTACTAGCTGCCACCGTTGAATGTTTCTTGGTGTGATTGCTTTGGTCTGTCTTTTACACCTGTGTCCGTTTGTGTCTGATTACGTGTCCTATAAGTTCCCTGTTTTGCATTGGTTAGATTGTGTGTTGTTTTTCGCCTGTCCGTAGTGCTGCGTGTTTTTGTATCTGTTTATTTGTTTATTTGTTATACGCATAGTTTGCGTATTGCTCGCCTCTGTTTTGTTGAGGCCGTTTACTGTATCCTTGCCTGGTGGTTTTTCACAGTAAACTTTGTTGGACTAAGCTTCGGTGTCCTGCGCCTGACTTCCACACATCATACACCTCAGCCTTGACAATTATATGTCCCTGAGCCCTGCTTACCTTAATGGTGACCTCCGTGCTTTCTGTAGCATTGCTGTTGTCCCACGTAGACGCCAAAGTGGATTCCTCAGCGAACCGTGTATAGGCCTCTTGAACAACCTACCAACGACAACACAAGAGGGTCGTATTATAGCAGGAACCCACGGCAAGCACATTACAGTAGCAATCACAAGTTCACTTCACCATGTACACTGCGAGTCATAAAAAATACATACGGGTAAATAGGAGTTGGCACACAAAAAGCACATGTACTGCACGCGAAGCTCTTATATAGATGTATAAGATCGTAAGGTGTATATATAGAGTGACACATTGAGAGACTGGAGTTGTTGGCTCGAAAATAACACCCTGGAAGTTTAGAGGACCAGGCTTCAGGGAACCATCGTTCTTGAGGGACAGGGAATCGCATACTAGAGTGTGTGTCAGGAGAGAGATAGAGGTAGATCAATTGAGTTTCATGTCGGAATGCTCCGGAAACTGCTGTTGCGACCGCAACCGCAAAGCCAATCAGACAAGCTGTCCAGGTTTGTCACCTAGTCTCCAGAAATCTATGGCTAAATCCATAATGAAGTGGGACATGAAGCCTTGCTGCATTTTAATAGTGGCGTCTAAACCTCCAGAGCAAACCCCTTACAGGGGGATTAGAACAGTAGAGGCCACTCACATCATGTCACAATATATACAATACATGTAAATTATCTACGGTACACCACTTTCAAACACAAAAATGTATAGCATCAGGTGTACAAAAATTACACAGACACACACATAGACACAGACAAATACGAACAAACATAGAAACGGCACACTTTTTCTGTTGGGCTAGTAGCTGATTAAGCAATATACACCCCCCAGTGTCGCAAACTTTGAATAGTTACTACAGTACTTGAATTGGCCCAGCTTCCCAAATCCAGATTAAGCCTGTAACTGGACTAAAAAGCACCCTCAACAGAGATTCTCCATTGAGCATGCATTTTAGACCAGGAGTAATCTGTGTCCAGGAAACCCATCCAGTGTGTACACTTAAACTACATGTCATAATGCACAATGCTCTTGATCGATGTACAGTAGTTATTTGATGCAGTAATTGATGATGTGTAGGTCTATGCACTCATCTCCACAGTATTCCAATACTAGAGAACACTAATTGCTATAATACCAGAGTGTAGGGCTGTGATAATCTTAGTCCAGGTGGCAATTTAATCCAGCGTATTATACAGCCTAATCCCACATTATGTCTGTATACTCTGCGAGTACTGTAAGTGTGTTACTAACTACATGTAAAAATCCTGGTTCCAAATGTGCAATTAACAAAGTACCACAGCATATAATCAAGAATACAAGTGGTAGATCTAGTCCAGTATCACCAAGCCAATTGATATGTTAATCGCTACTGCCCCGATCTTAGACAAACGCACAGCAGATACACACACACACACACACACACACACACACACACACAATCAGCACATACTCACACATACACATAAATACATGTTTACCTTATAACTCCGCCTCCAACAATAATATATGTGCATGTGCGCTTGAGAATAGCTGAATCGTATTGGACGGCTGCATCTGTATGCTTATTTGCACTGAGGCTATGACTGCAGTTATCATGAACAAGTAACTGCAGTTATTTGTCAGTTTGGAGATTAGCGAAAAGAGGGAGGGGTGAGGAATGGATGGCACAGACAAATAATCACTGATGATGGTGGGAGGCCCACACAGCATAGTGACGCTATGACCATCCCCAGAGCGTTAGTACAAACACCAATACAGATTCATCCACTTAACACTACGGAATGAAGCCAGAACACAGTTCTCTCACCAAGCAGAGGCTCCAACGGAGGCTCCTTTAAGAGGGAGAAACGTAACGCAAAGGCAAAACGTTAACTAGATTTTCCCCCAATTTGTAATTAGGCCGACATCTATTGGGTGGACCAAATACAGTGGGGAAAAAAAGTTTTTAGTCAGCCACCAATTGTGCAAGTTCTCCCACTTAAAAAGATGAGAGAGGCCTGTAATTTTCATCATAGGTACACGTTTTTCCAGAAAATCACATTGTAGGATTTTTAATGAATTTATTTGCAAATTATGGTGGAAAATAAGTATTTGGTCACCTACAAACAAGCAAGATTTCTGGCTCTCACAGACCTGTAACTTATTCTTTAAGAGGCTCCTCTGTCCTCCACTCGTTACCTGTATTAATGGCACCTGTTTGAACTTGTTATCAGTATAAAAGACACCTGTCCACAACCTCAAACAGTCACACTCCAAACTCCACTATGGCCAAGAGCAAAGAGCTGTCAAAGGACACCAGAAACAAAATTGTAGACCTGCACCAGGCTGGGAAGACTGAATCTGCAATAGGTAAGCAGCTTGGTTTGAAGAAATCAACTGTGGGAGCAATTATTAGGAAATGGAAGACATACAAGACCACTGATAATCTCCCTCGATCTGGGGCTCCACGCAAGATCTCACCCCGTGGGGTCAAAATGATCACAAGAACGGTGAGCAAAAATCCCAGAACCACACGGGGGGACCTAGTGAATGACCTGCAGAGAGCTGGGACCAAAGTAACAAAGCCTACCATCAGTAACACACTACGCCGCCAGGGACTCAAATCCTGCAGTGCCAGACGTGTCCCCCTGCTTAAGCCAGTACATGTCCATGCCCATCTGAAGTTTGCTAGAGTGCATTTGGATGATCCAGAAGAGGATTGGGAGAATGTCATATGGTCAGATGAAACCAAAATATAACTTTTTGGTAAAAACTCAACTCGTCGTGTTTGGAGGACAAAGAATGCTGAGTTGCATCCAAAGAACACCATACCTACTGTGAAGCATAGGGGTGGAAACATCATGCTTTGGGGCTGTTTTTCTGCAAAGGGACCAGGACGACTGATCCGTGTAAAGGAAAGAATGAATGGGGCCATGTATCGTGAGATTTTGAGTGAAAACCTCCTTCCATCAGCAAGGGCATTGAAGATGAACGTGGCTGGGTCTTTCAGCATGACAATGATCCCAAACACACCGCCTGGGCAACGAAGGAGTGGCTTCGTAAGAAGCATTTCAAGGTCCTGGAGTGGCCTAGCCAGTCTCCAGATCTCAACCCCATAGAAAATCTTTGGAGGGAGTTGAAAGTCTGTGTTGCCCAGCGACAGCCCCAAAACATCACTGCTCTAGAGGAGATCTGCATGGAGGAATGGGCCAAAATACCAGCAACAGTGTGTGAAAACCTTGTGAAGACTTACAGAAAACGTTTGACCTGTTTCATTGCCAACAAAGGGTATATAACAAAGTATTGAGAAACTTTTGTTATTGGCCAAATACTTATTTTCCACCATAATTTGCTAATAAATTCATTAAAAATCCTACAATGTGATTTTCTGGAGAAAAAAAATCTCATTTTGTCTGTCATAGTTGACGTGTACCTATGATGAAAATTACAGGCCTCTCTCATCTTTTTAAGTGGGAGAACTTGCACAATTGGTGGCTGACTAAATACTTTTTTTCCCCACTGTACATAAGGATTGAGATAAAGATGATGGGTGGACAATGGCAACATTGTGGGCTGCGGACAAAACACTTGAAATTACCACTATGATGGAATCTGCCATATGGAGAGAGTGATGACTGATGATATATGGATGATCTTATTTTGTGTGATTCAAAGCACCACACATCCAGGAAGCTGACACTGGGTAGACAGGTTTTGTTCCTTGGTGAATTCCAGCGAATTAATCAAAGTAAATTAGGACCTTAAGTTTAATTAAAGCTAATTATCTGAGGTTTATAGGTCAAGACTAAAGACGAACACAGCAACGCACACTGATAGAGGAAAAGAGAGCGGGACAGGCAAAGGTATAATACAGTTCATGAACACTGACATTTTTCTTTGACCATACTTAAAAGGTTGTTGCAACATTTTACAAAATGACATACTGGTTACCTTACCCTTGTAAGCAGTCTATGGACAAGGTATGACAGAAACCCATGCTTTGGTTTTGTTTAACTTTTTAGTATTTGTGGCACAAATCCAATGCAAGTTAATGGGTACAACATTTAAATGTTCACGCTTCATGTCCAAATCATCTCTAAGTAACTACATTGAGTTACAAAACCAATTTTAAGATACTTTAGGATGATTTGGACATGAAGTGCGAAAATACTAATGTTGTTCCCATTGACTTGCATTGGATTTGTGCCACTAATGCTAAAGAGTTAGCAGTTGAAACAGTGGCCAGGTAAACAAAACCAAAGCATGAATTGCTGTCATACCTTGTCCATAGACAGGGTAAGGAAGCCAATACGTCATTTTGTAAAATGTCTCATTATACCTTTAAGAGGTCTTACCATCACCATTATTTCTCTTACAATCACATTGCAATCTGCGACTTGTGTAATAGGAATATAGCATTATCATTTTGGAATCATATTCCGCCATTGTCGCAGTGTGCTATGGTCTACGAGTATATTAGGCCTGCAATCATAGTAACAGGATTCCAAAATACGTGATAACTGCGCTCTTGAAGAGACAATGGACGATAATTGTTAGTAAATTAAGTGTTTCGACGTGAGAATAGCATACAGATATGATAAACCAGATGCTGTTTAACTATAGTAAAGGGGTTGGATCATGGTGTCTTAACGTTGTCACCCCTGTTGAGGAGGTTTAAGGTGAGTTACCTTGACGAATGCGTCTCCATCCCCCTTGTCTGCCTGCTGGGCGATGAGGGCAATTTGCCTCGCCTTCTCCGCCCGACGGCGCACATTGATCAGGCAGGAGAGCAGACACACCAGCAAGAGGAGGACCAGGAGGCCCAGTAAGGAGAGGATTGCAACATACAGCGTGGGTAATTTATAGGCTAAAAGAGAGAGGGAAGAAGAGAGAGCATGGAGGAAGGAAAGACATAAGGGTATAGGATGGACAGGAATATGATAAGAAATATAGGAGAAAGACAAGCAGGCAGAAAGGAAAGGAACACCAAGAAAAGAGGAGGGATGGATGACAGAGGAGGCGAATGTGGAGAGTTCCAATATCAAAAGGAGAGAGTGAAATATACAGTGCCATTGATGACAAGAAGTAGAAAGAGAAGGAAAATACCATTAATAGAGGTGATACATGAATCCATATGTGAAAGCCCTAGTCTCCTCCCTGACCCACGGTTTACCTTCCACCTCCAGGTAGATGTTGGTCACAGGAAACCCCAACAGGTCTGTCACTCTGAAGAGCCCCATGTCACTGACCCGGACCCTCTCCAGAATGCACATGGAGCCTTCTACAGTCAGCCTGCCATCCAGTGATGGGTCCACCGGCACCACTAGCTCTCCATGCTCTAGTATGACCCGTTCCTTCCGGTCCCAGTCTGGAGTGTACATGAGGTTGACTTTGGTGTGGTCCACAAACAGGTTGATCTTCAAAGTACTGCCATATGATAGGTGGACAAAGTTCTGATGCTCTTTGAAACGAAGGGGAATGAGAAAAATGTGTCAAATAATTCTGGTTGCTCTTATTTTGACTTGTGTCTTTCAAGCTTTATCAATCATATTTTGCCCATACCACTAACCACAATTTCAAAACCCCTAGATCAAGCATTATCTCCCTTCCATCTCTGACATTGACCACTCCCTCTCTGACTTTGACTACTCCCCCTCTGACATTGACCCCTCCCTCTCTGACTTTGATCTTCCTCATCTCACCTTTCACATTCAGGCATGACCTCCTCCTGACTTTCCCGTCGCGGTCCAGTACGGTGAAGCTTCCCTCGTCTGTCCCCCGCACCATGCTTAGAGTCACCCTTTTCTCTGACACACTCAGACGACCCTTGTACTCCTCCGCGGGGATGGAAGTCTGGTTGAGCAGCACCACCGCCGGTGGCTCGGTGGTCTGATTGACCTGGGCTTGACTGGACCTGAACTCCAGGGTGATAGGGCCCAAGATGTCGCTGAGTGGGATGTGGTATGTTTCACCATACTTGACCACCTGCTCCAGCGCACAATCTACCAGGGAGCACACAACAGCACAGCACTATCACTCAGCGCTCCGGGGGAGTATTTTATTCCTATACAGTTTCATTTGCATCAGAACAATGATCATAATCGATTGAAGACCAAATGCAACTACGTCAACAATGCAAGAAACGTTCATTTCGATCGACGTCTGCCTCTAAGGGTTACATTGTTTTTGCGCTGAGATAGGATACGATCTTAGATAGTGAATGTATTGGATAAACAGTGATTTGAAGAAGTATACATAAAAGTTGATTGCAACATTAGAAGCAAAGTTTGAAGAATTAGAAGAGCTGAAGGTTAATTAACTGTACAGTAATTAGAAGAACAGTACCCCTGACGAGGAGGATGATGTGTTTGACATCGGCAGGCACCTCTGTGTTCTTGATCACGTACATGCCTTCGTCCTCCTCCCCCACATCCTCCAGGATGAGGTGCTTGAGGGAGTTGAGCTGGGCCCGGTGGCTCACCACCCGCCCGTCCCTCATCAGGACCACCTCGGCGGTGGGGTTGGAGGTGGGCTTGAACAGAACATCAGTGCTGACTAGGGATGGGAGAGGGATGTGCACATCTTCACCGAAAAAAGCAATCTTGTGTTCTTCTTTGACTGAAGAGAGAGAATGTAAAAGAGGTAGAGATTGATAAGGGTACGCATAAGTATAAGGAATAATATGTCAGAATCATGGTAAAGTTACTGATGGTATTCATACTTAATCTTCAGGTTTTGACAGTCACTGACAAAAACTCTAGATCATGCTTGACTTTACCTTTCAGGGATGCAGTCAGAACTGTAAAGTAAAAGAGAGGTTTATTTTAACATTACTTTACGTTCTTTGTCAATGTTTACAAAGAACCTTCAAGAAGTTAGAAATCCTTTGTACTGCTGGAAGAGAAACTACAGAACTTGGCAAATATCACAAAGCGTTTGCAATGTCAATGCCCTACATTCTCACTGCAAAAATAGAACTGCTGTCAACAACATAAAAGGAAAAAAGGAACAGATAATAAATTACTCTACCCATGTTGTACTCATTTGAATAAAATCTGATATAGTCATGTAACTGTGTCAAACTTTCCTTTATGCTCTTTCAGCCTCTCAATCGAAATCCCTGGTGGCTAATTCACCAATATGCTTACCAGTGCAGAACACAGCTCCAAACACGGCAACACCAATTATTTTCATCTTGATTGAATCTCTGGAAAAAAAAATATATATATTTTTTACAGCAGCATATTGCTTATCTAAATATGGATTTAATTATTGTACATGCATGCAGAGTATACAAATACCTTTCAAACTAAATTGTAGAGATACAGTATGAAGATTAACAAAACATAATACGGTATAGTTTAAATCTGGACATGCAGTGCTCCTATTAAAGAATATACTCCTAGTAATTTATACTGTAACTGGGAGTCTGCAGTGGTAATGACATAATTTCCTGAGGTTAACATGAGTGGCTTGTAGTTCCTCAGGGCATTAGCCAGCTCTTTTGTGTGATGAGGCTGACCACTGTTAGACTAGAGTGGACATGAGCCTAGGCTTGGGCCACCATTCTGCCTACAGTGACAGGAGATGGGGAGGAGGGGAGGGGAAGAAGCTAAGTGGCTCCAAGGATCCTCGTTTACAACCACGAAAGAACACAGAGTGCTGTTTAATAAGCATTGTCTCTTTCAGCCACATAAATGAAGAAATTACAGAACTGTCTTTTTTCATGTCATATTCAGGACAGGCTGAAAATCAAAGTGTAGCCAGAGTTTTGAAGGCAATTGGTTTCCAATGAGCTGTATTTAGTGTCAGAGTTTAATAATTGTGCCATTCAATATGCCAAGTTAATTGAGTTTGAATGGTCTGCTATTATGTTGTACACTGCCATTAGCTTATTGCATACTGAGTTGTACCAACTGAGTTGTGTGATAAATTGTGCACTTTTCTCAACCCTGGAAGTACAAAGGATGTAAATCAATCACAAAAAGTTTGGCTTTTGATGAATGATCAGCTGTTTTGGACCATTGCCTGAAGGCCAAATAATTCATGGTCGAAAGTAGGCTGTGCTGTTTTCAGAACAAGCCATATAGGTCACTCAATATTTGTATTGTGTGATGTAAAGGTGAACTAATGGTGTTCACCCCAATTTATCGCACATATCTCATCCGTTTGACATCCGGTGTCGCTTTTCCTTCTCTACAAACTCACTCGCGCGCGCAGCATCCTTTTTTTTGTTCTATCTCTCAGCGGTAAAACAGTGTGCAGTCTGTACCACGGGTGTGTCATGCTCCGCTGCATGGGCTATCCCAACAAGATAAAACAGCGTTGGTAATGATGAGGACTATCCTGATCTGAGGAATTTGGAAGACAGAGAAGAGCCCTGCTCGTTCCAGCTACGATTTATGTTATCCGTGTGGATTTTGACAAAGCTCGCACTCTCTATTTTGCGCGTATCTCACACGCACAAACGCTCCCTTACTCGCCCCCCAACCCCCCCCCCCCCCCCCCCCCCTTCGCACAAGACCAAGTGCCATTAAAAAGCTGTATTCTCTCTTCAGTACATTGAGTATTTTACCATACCAAACACTTACTCAGCGACTATGCAAAATTTGCCATCGGTCGTTCCCATTAATTACGTAGCCTAACGATTGGGTGTCCTGGCAGTGTGTCCACGCATTAACGCATTGGGCAGGACATCAAACAAATAATGAACAATAACCAATTTCACATTCAACTACCTACCATTCGTTGATCAATTACATAAACGATTGAGGGTGAGGGTGGGTGAAATATAATAGGCTTATGATTTTTATTTTTTATTCCCAGGCCTATAATGAACTGCACCTTTGATGGGGAGAAGAAATAGCCTAGAAAAAACGAACCCTCCTCATATTGTTTGTTCTGGTGTTCATTGTAAGGATATAGGCTCCAATCTGAAGATGCAGCGAGGCCGTTTAACCTTTCAAAATAGCATAAATAGCCTATGAAATGCTGCCTGGTGCCCAACAATGGTCATTGTCCCGTTTCTATTTTCTAATCTTAGCCTTTGTTTATGGGAAGTGCTATACTTTACATGTAAAATAATCATGATGTTTTATGTTTTGTAGGTGAAGATGAAGGTAATTACTGTCATCCTACCCGTCTCTGCTGCATTCCCCGTAACACGCCCTAAATCACCCATATTAGATATAGCTGTTAGGCATGCATAAAAAACAACCAGATAACCTGCCAGCAAACGAAAAAACTGCAAAATTTAACCCATACATTTCCCGATGAAATAAAAAACCAGTAGAACTGAGCAGATACCGATGTATCAGAATTGCTGGTAATTACCTTTCAGACAGGCTTGGATCCGAAAACAGCAGATGGGACTTGCGGGGTACAGGAAGTAAGGTTTTCTGCAAAATTGTGTTTTTCTGTTCTTTTTAATATCTTCCTCCTCTCCCTCACCCCCAACCAGTCAAAGAAAGGGACTTCAATGGTGTTCCGAATCGGGATTATCTGTAGAGTTTCGGAAGCTGTCGGCTTGTGGTCTATTAATGATCGGTGGATCTCGTGCAATTTCGTTAGAATCCGGAGGTTCTGCTCTGGAATGCCACCACTCATATTCATGTGGGATTTTGACTATGGTATTATGACTTCACATCTTGTTTGCTTGATGTGTGATTAAAATAAGAACACAGATAACCGTTTTATTCCAGGAAAGTACCAACAAATGTAATATATATATATATTTGTTTTTTGTCATTTAGCAGACGCTCTTATCCAGAGCGACTTACAGGAGCAATTAGGGTTAAGTGCCTTGCTCAAGGGCACATCGACAGATTTTTCACCTAGTCAGCTCAGGGATTAGAACCAGCGACCTTTCGGTTACTCCCACAACACTCTTAACCACTAAGCTACCTGCCGCCCTATATAAATATAGTTGTATAGCTTTAGATATCCTGTAGGCTACAATATCTCACTTATAGGTGGGTTAGTCACAGTGGTAACTAATGAATTAAACAAATTCAAAATGGCCCTCCATTCATGACCTAATTAGTTTTTCATTTATCTGTTTTGACTCTTTTTTTTCTCTCCTCCTCCTCCTCCTCCTCTTCTTGAGTTATTTCCCCACTGGTGGTGAACTGTTTGTACTAGCATTAGTGGAGCCAAGGGATACTCCGATTCCATACCTGTTGTTTAAGAAGCATGATGTGACAAATACAATTTGATTTGTCTGTCACTGCTTATGCCTTTTTGGACCCATCACAGATCCAGGCGAACCAATCTACGTATTCTAATCTAGTGTGTGACAAGGTAGCAATATTTTTGGGTTTATCTGCTGTTTTCAAGTGGTTATTCATATTCATACTCTTTTCTAATCTTGTTTTACAAAAAATTGTGCCTTTGCCCAACAGTTTATTGATTTAATATTTGTTTCTATTGACCTGATTTAAAAAATGTTCAATGCAATGGTGTTACAGTAAGTGTTTGCAATAGTTTCATTGTGAGTGGATTATTGCTTCATTATACCGCAATAATATCATTATTTTCCTTACAATAATAACAACAGAGAGAGGTTTTCTAAAAATGCCTTTTTATTTCTCCCCAGAGGCAACAACTTTTCACTTTCTCAAGGATAAAAAAAAAATATATAATCAGAATAGAAAAGAACGAACAAAACACATGCAAGACGGTTGCAGTTTCAGCCCTTCATAGTGCAGCACAGATGTCAACAATACCTGACACTATAGCAGGGTTTGGACATATAGACAAACTGGTTTGACCTAAAATAACAATGGCTTCTATTTGAATAGTTGTTCAATATGTAAACATTTACTAAAATGTTCTGTACACACACATTTGCAGAGGTTCCTTCAGATAATCTTGTTTCAAAACCTTGCTATGGTCAAATGGAATGAAATTCCTGGAACTCTCCCTATTATGTTCCAGTTCGAGGTCGTCCCCACCGAGACGTTGGTTGGCGTCCGGGTGAGGCCGGCTCCAGGTGGAGCAGACACCTTCATCAAAGTCAGCCCAGAATCAAGACTGTTCATACGTTAATTAGTCTGATCCCAGATCTGTTTGCCAATGGCTATAAGTTAATAACCTTAGTCTCAAAATCAAAACTCCATCTGTGGGGTGAGAGGTCCTGTAGTGCATATGTGGTCGCATTCACATTTATTTGTGACATGATTCAATGAAAAATGGCAACAACAACAACAAAAAAACACTGAAAATAACAGGAACAATCTTTTCATAGGTATAGGCTTCTTCTTTACCTTTCTTTCAACAACATTGTTTCTTAACTTACTGTATATTTATTCATTAATTCCTTTCTGGGTATACAGTCAAGACCATGCAGTACATGTTGTCACAGTAAATGGAATGCAGACTGTGTCCAGTTGATTTGTTGATTATGCTGCTGTCACTCCTCTCCTCCTCCCTTACATTCATTCACCCATGTCCAGTCACAGTCTTCAGTCATTCTGTTCTTGAGCTATTTCAGCCATTTTCAGATAGGATCCTCAATTTCTGGGTTTTCAATTGGGCTCCTCCTCTTCTCAGCTATGTTCTATAGTATTCCTCCAGTTTTCTTTTGGTACTTATCTTGTTTTTCTCTTTTTGTGGTATTTTGTTATTTTCCAGCTTTTTGTAGGACTTTTCTTCATTCTTCCACCTCGCTCGTGTTGCTTCACTCCGTCTTTAAGCATCCTCCTCAGCCTCCTCCTCAAACTCACCCTCCTCCTCAGCGGTGGCGTCCTGGTACTGCTGGTACTCAGACACCAGGTCGTTCATGTTGCTCTCTGCCTCAGTGAACTCCATCTCGTCCATGCCCTCTCCGGTGTACCAATGGAGGAAGGCCTTGCGGCGGAACATGGCGGTGAACTGCTCAGAGATACGCTTAAACAGCTCCTGGATGGCTGTACTGTTGCCGATGAAGGTGACTGCCATTTTGAGGCCTCTTGGAGGAATGTCGCAGACGGCGGTCTTGACATTGTTGGGGATCCATTCAACGAAGTAGCTGCTGTTCTTGTTCTGGACGTTGAGCATCTGCTCGTCCACCTCCTTCATGGACATGCGGCCACGGAAGACAGCGGCGACAGTAAGGTAGCGACCGTGGCGCGGGTCACATGCGGCCATCATGTTCTTGGCGTCGAACACTTGCTGGGTGAGCTCAGGCACGGTGAGGGCACGGTACTGCTGGCTCCCCCTGCTGGTGAGGGGGGCGAAGCCGGGGATAAAGAAGTGGAGACGGGGGAAAGGCACCATGTTGACGGCCAGTTTACGGAGGTCGGCGTTGAGCTGGCCGGGGAAACGCAGGCAAGTGGTGACCCCGCTCATGGTGGCCGACACCAGGTGGTTGAGGTCTCCGTAAGTCGGCGTGGTGAGTTTGAGGGTACGGAAGCAGATGTCGTAGAGAGCCTCGTTGTCAATGCAGAAGGTCTCGTCTGTGTTCTCTACAAGTTGGTGAACCGAGAGCGTGGCGTTGTAAGGCTCCACCACAGTGTCCGACACTTTCGGGGAGGGCACCACGCTGAAGGTGTTCATGATGCGGTCAGGGTACTCTTCACGGATCTTGCTGATGAGCAGGGTGCCCATGCCCGAGCCAGTGCCCCCACCCAGGGAGTGGGTGAGCTGGAAGCCCTGGAGGCAGTCGCAGCTCTCAGCCTCTTTCCTCACCACATCCAGGACTGAGTCCACCAACTCTGCTCCCTCAGTGTAGTGGCCCTTTGCCCAGTTGTTTCCTGCACCGCTCTGACCTAGAAACATCGGAGGAAAGGAGGGACATAAGAACACCTCAAACCCTATTTTACTTCAAAATGACAGGACTGTTTCATAATGACTTTTTCACTCTGTTTAATTTTCCTATGTGCTAACTAAACGTGATATGTCCCTTCAATTTTCAAGCAGTGCTAAACTCAAACCCCTCTCATTCCTTACCAAACACAAAGTTGTCTGGTCTGAAGATCTGTCCGAAGGGTCCAGATCTGACAGAGTCCATGGTGCCGGGCTCCAGGTCCACTAGGACCGCTCTGGGAACATACTTGCCACCTCCATGAGAGACAAAGATTGAGAGACACACACCAGCTCAATATTGCAGGGAACAATGGGTTATTTGATGTCAAGGGGAGTGGAGCTCCTATCTGTCCACCAGGGGGAGGACAAAATATATCACGTCCTGTACACCTCCATTAGTCCACGAATTGTATGATCCTATACAGTTTCCCCTGCGACATTGAGATTTTCACCCATTACATTAATAGCTTTGCAGTGTGACTTGGCCTCCACAATCACACGACCTCAACCCAATTGAGATGGTTTGGGATGAGTTGGACCGCAGAGTGAAGTAAAAGTAGCCAACAAGTGCTCAGTACATGTGGGAACTCCTTCAAGACTGTTGGAAAAGCATTCCTCATGAAGCTGTTTGAGAGAATGCCAAGAGTGTGCAAAGCTGTCATCAAGGCAAAGGGTGGCTACTTTGAAGAATCTCAAATATAAAATATATTCTGATTTGTTTAACACTTTTTTGGTTACTACATGATTCCATATGTGTTATTTCATAGTATTGATGTCTTCACTATTATTCTACAATGTAAAAAATAGTAAAAATAAAGAAGAACTCTTGAATGAGTAGCTGTGTCCAAACTTTTGACTGGTACTGTATGTACATGTATGTGTAAGCACCAAAGACATTCTTCTGTTGAAAGGTTATTTGTAACTCTAGAGGGTGTAGATGTGCTACCTGAAGCCTCGTTGTAGTAGACACTGATCCTGTCCAGCTGTAGGTCGCTATCTCCATGGTAGGTGCCTGTGGGGTCGATACCATGTTCATCGCTGATCACCTCCCAGAACTAAAGAGTACAGATCGATAAATGTCAACCCGAGTGGCTTGAATTGACACAGGCCAGCACTGCTAAAGTGCAGGTTGCGCTGAGTGGCTGAACTACCAACAGAATGTAATAGCCCATTCCCTTGTGGGGTGGTGTGAGGTCAAGTGGTTGGGAAGCTGAGCTAGTAGTGTATAGTTGGTTATTGTTGTTGTTACTATATTATTACATTAGATATTTAATGAAAAAATGACTATTGCTGTAAAGATGAACATGGCCCTATATCATATAAGGTATCCTCTACAACACAACTTACAAAATATCATGCAAGACAAACTATTATTTTAAGTTGAACCATATACCATATGGATATTCAATACATGACATAATTCCAAAACTATTCAAAATCTCTTCCAGTGGCGTTGTCTATCCTGGCACAGATGTGTGCTCTTGACCTCCCAGCTACCACATGGGCGAAATAAATGCTGTCGAGTGTAGAAACCATAGGCAAATCCAACAGATAATTGCCTTCGCAGTCGCAAGACATTGAGCAATACATTCAAAATCGCATTTACAAGGCTGGCCCCTAGCCCTAAATACCTGTTTCTCATCCTGAATTAGTGCTTTTTAGCTAGGCTACAGAGTCCCCCTTGTGCAATGTACAGTACAATCACAGTTGGGGTGTGCTCTGTGTATTCATTAGTGCAGCTTCACAGTCACACTGCAAAGCTATGTGGTATTTTGAAGTCTGAGAAGTTTGTGTGTAGTAGGACTATGTGTGCATGCGTGAGGGTAGATATGAGTATGTACTGTATACATCCAAGCGTGCATGGTTGTGTCACTACCACTGGTGTCACTTTTCTGATCTGGGAGGCTGCAGTAATAACAAAGGATTAGAGTAATCTGGATAAACATCTAGCCTTAGAGAGGAAGACAAGATCAAGAGATGTCGTAAAGAGCTGCTTAAAACAACTCTATACTTATGCTAGAATATCTACCGTCCATGAAGATTTATTATAAATGGCTAAACAAGAGAGAGAGAAGCAATACTCCGTAGGCTACCATGTGAGCAGGCAAAGTGGAACCATCCTAGAGGAATTAGCCTACTGGGACAGATTGATGAGGTGAGACATTAAGGCGAAACTTCGTTAAGGAAGTGGCACAGACTGTCATACGAACTCAACTGACCCTAATCTGAAATAGAGGGAGACAGAGAGCGAGAGAGCGAGAACCTTGTTTTATATCAAACACCTCTTGAGCTTTCACTCCACTTTACCATCTATTCTTTAACCCATGTCAATATCAATAAATATTAGTGAAATGTCCAATTATTGTTCACTGTGCTCTCTGGTAATACAAATTCTCATTTAACACATCAACAAGTTAGGGCTACCAAATTAGGCTAGTGATACACTCCATTTCTCATAAGAATTCCATTCACCACGAAGGGTAGGCCTGAATAGACTTATGTAGCTATCTGGTATAGACAGCATATTTATAGAGTTATTGAGGCCTTATGGATATTAAATTATGTTGATGACATTTCACTGGCCCACTGGACCCTCCATGGCAGTGTTCCCAAATGGTGTTGTGTAAAATAACTAAGTTGTGGATAAAAACATATACTACACTAAAGTGTCAACTCGACTCCTTCTCACAAGCATTAGTCATTTAAACGATGTCATCTGCTCTCATAGTCCACCACTTGTTCATATCCCTCCCCCCGCCCAGAAGTCCCCGTCAGTTGTTGGCGTTCATTCCTCTCTCCCTTGCCTGCTTCAGCAACTTTCCCCTTTTTTTCTTAAAGGACGTTGATTCAGCTCCAGCAAGACAACAGCCCGCTATTCTATGTAAATCACCATAGCGTTAATAGTGGTGCATTTTACTGGTCTATTATCCGCACTCAGCCAAGAGGCGATGTGTCAATGCGCAACAGGGCATGCGTTTTTGTCGTAAAAAGCCATTTACTCTTTTACAAGTTATGTTTAAAGTTTGACTTGTGCCACAGCCTAAAGATGATTCAATAATATGATAGGAGGCTATCCAGAGACATAGCCTACTTACGTAAATGTCTAATGCAAGGAATAAGCCTAGTCTACTGAGACTAAAATTATAGGACATTTTAACTTGTCAAAAAAAACGAAACAAATTGTCTCGAAAATGCAATCTTTGCGCATCAACATCTGTAAACCGCGGGGGGTGAACTATCCTATATGAAGCTATAGTTTTTTCCATAGTGTCATAACTGTAGGACTAAGTGTCTTGTGTATAAATGTCTAGTTGTTTTTTTATTTGTGTTTTAAAATCTTCATTTTAGACATCTCTTTTTCGTAGTCTATTGAAGAGAAGGCTATTCCAGACACAAAACAATTAGCGTGGCAAAAAGGGCAGACAGACGCCCAGCGAAATCACGTCTCGATAGTCCCGTTATCTCACCATAATAAAATAACTGTCAGCGTTTTTCCAGTTGCGCTTTCTTCTAAGACTAGTTTACATTGGCAAAAGATAAATGTATATCCAATAAAGAACAAAAACGATTTAGAAGCTTTACAACTGAACTGAAAAGCAGACAACAAAAGGTATATTCATTCCGGTACTCTTCATCCATTAAATGGCCATCTCATGTTAGAAAAAGAGACCATAACGGAAATTTCTGCATTGAATGTTTATCATTTAGGCCAAGTGGAAATGTTTTACTTAAAATACCCATAGCCAAGAATACAACTTTTTGAGAAGCAACAAATAGTTTGTATAATGCATTATTTATTAATTCCCAAATGTAAGCCTAGACATTGTTCGTTTAAGTTTTCAAGATTCTTACCTTGGCCCCAATCTGGTTACCGCACTGGCCGGCCTGAATGTGTACGATTTCCCTCATTCTGAATGCGTGTAATAATAGAAAATACAAGAGAAGAAATGGAATGCTGTTATGTCGACACAGCAGACACACTCACCGCTGTGAAGTATGTGGATGAAACCTTTGAGAAAGGCGGGACAAAGAATTTATAAATCTGGACAGTGGCCAAACCGAAGCTTGCGCTAATGATTGGTCACGTACTTCGGAAACCCAATCTTGATTGGCTGAGGAAAGAACATCTAAGGGGTTTCTCTGCCGTAAAGAAAGGGGCCGGAAGTAGAGAGGGAGTGCCCCGTCCCGCCCTGTCAACACTGTCCTGTTGGAGCAGGCAGGCCATGGAGTCAGCGCACTGATTATCAAAAATGTTCTAGATGATCATGAATTGTAGGACTTGCCCCAAATCCTGTAAGACTCCTATACAATTGACTATGAATGCAAAAACGTATTGTTGGAAAATAATCCCCCCCACCCCCCCCCCCCTATTAGATGTGAAAATAGTCCTTAGAATAAAACAATAAAAAAGTGATATTGTGTACAGTAATTGATCCCTTAAATCAGTTCAGCCAAGACAAATTACTTACATATTGATAACCTTACTACAATACTCCAAAATGATGTTCATTATCCTAAATTATTATGCAGAATACTATCTTCTGCTGTTTTGTTATAACGTCCAATGGTCAAATGTAGCATGGTTAGATACGTGTTGTGCTGATTACCCCCGCTCACTTCACTTGAAGCCTTAATAAGACAAACATTCAATGGGGTGGTTGTATGACGCAACCTGTACAACCTGTCACATTGGTGTCATGATCCAATGTAGTCCCCGGTAGCTCAGTTGATAGAGCATGGCGCTTGCAACGCCAGGGTTGTGGGTTCGTTTCCCACGGGGGGCCTGTATGAAAATATATGCACTCACTAACTGTAAGTCACTCTGGATAAGAGCGTCTGCTAAAATGACCAACAAAAAAATAAAATAAAGAAAAATGACCCAGATCACAGCAATGTGGCCTCACTTGAAATAAGTTTGGTTGCCTTCAGAATGAGAGCCTATGAATAGACAATTTGAGGACACACAAATACATATACACACACATCTCACCACTTTTCAAATAGGCACAATGCCTCCACATCAATCAATCAAATGTATTTATAAATCCCTTTTTACATCAGCAGATGTCACAAAGGGCTTATACAGAAACCCAGCCTAAAACCCCAAATGTAGAAGCACGGTGGCTAGGAAAAACACCCTAGAAAGGCAGGAACCTAGAAAGAAACCTAGTGAGGAACCAGGCTCTGAGGGGTGGCCAGTCCTCTTCTGGCTGTGCGGGTGGAGATTTTAAGAGTACATGGCCATTAAGACTAGATCGTTCTTCAAGATGTTCAAACGTTCAAAGATGACCAGCAGGGTCAAATAATAATCACTGTGGTTATAGAGGGTGCAACAGGTCAGCACCTCAGCTGTAATTTTCAGTTGGCTTTTCATAGCCGAGCATTCAGAGGTTAAGACAGAAGGAGGGGGGGGGTCCCATCCATCTAATTAGGTACTGACACAACAAAGAACAAAGGGCAACTAAAGTGCATTAAGTGGATCATTTTGTTGATATAGCTAAGTAATTCGAAATTGTATTTCACACTGATCATTGAGTGAAATACAATTCACCACCGCACCACCAGATGGCGACAGCATATTTTGCAATGGGCGTGAGACAATGGACAGAAGCTTTTTTTACGGAAAGAGCAATAACGGGACAGACGCTTCATATATACATATAGTCATTGGACAGACGATAGCAAGAATAACACTGCTGTATTTTGACAGGAAAAAAAAGTATTGTTGCGACGTATTCTGCATTAGTTCATTCTGTCAAATTGGTAAGTGAACGGACATATTTTGCCTAATCTTTCGACTGATTTGATGCATCTCGGATTGCAACATATGTAAACATCAGTGGGGTCTGGCAAAAATGATAGTGGAATTGGATACATATGTATCATTGCTAACGAGTTGCTACACCCTTGCATGTTTTATTTATATCCTATTTACATGTGTGTTGATACATTTGTTGATACATGTATGAGCTTGTCTGTCTATGCTCTTTAAAAGCAAAATGTCCTGGATGATGCTGCGCAACATCTACGCAAATTCAATCAGCTGCCAGTGTTGTCTCGATAGCTTTCTCAAGGCTCCTGCCCCTTTGGATTTTCATGGAGAAGATTACAATAGTTATAATACTGACTACCTGCTCAAATTCTGATTAAATGTTAATTGAAATATATAAAACATTTAGTCACATTTGTTACTTACAGTAGCTATATAAAATTATTATTAGGCCAACTGTATAGATTTCAGTCAAAGCTGTCAAGCATGACTGATGAATGAAGCTACACATGCTTGAGCAATAGGCCAATGTAAGACTCTCAAGTAACCCACTGTCAGGCCCATTGTCCAGCTTGTGGTCCTCTGTAGCTCAATTGGTAGAGCATGGCGCTTGTAACGCCAGGGTAGTGGGTTAGATCCCCGGAACCACCCATACGTAAAAATGTATGCGCACATGACTGTAAGTCGCTTTGGATAAAAGCGTCTGCTAAATGGCATATTATTATTATTATTATGAAATTGTGTGTTGTTTTTTGTTTTATAGCATCTGAGGGAGAAGAAGAAAAACATGTTCTACACATGTGGTCCAAATGAGGCTATGGTGGTGTCAGGTCCATTCTCTAATCAATACAATTCTGTTCTCCATTTATAAACATATTACATTAAAGAGCTGTAGGATGGTAGTAATTCTCTCATGCGTATCTCACCATCCTCCCTCTCTCTCTATCTCTGTTCCTCAGGGTTCTGCCGTTCTCCTCCAGTAATGATTGCTGGAGGCAGAGTGTTTGTGCTTCCCTGTGTTCAGCAGATCCAGAGGTACGGTCTCTTTTCCTGTTCATGTCTGCAAACGCATATATTGGCCATGTATCGCCATTTACCATTGTTTTGGGATATCATACTACAGCATTGTGGAATGATTATATCTCTCCCTCCTTTCCTCTCTTCTCTCCCAGGATCTCCCTGAACACTCTGACGCTGAACGTGAAGAGTGATAAAGTCTACACCCGCCATGGGGTTCCCATCTCAGTCACTGGTATTGCCCAGGTTTGTCTCTCCATCGTTCTCTGTCTCCGTTTCTTCCTGAGCCAATGTAACTGCACTATTCTGTTACAGTCATTGAAACAGGTTTAGACACCCTAGTTTTGAACTCAAGTGTAAGGGCTTTCTTTAATGAAATACATATCAAGTAGCCAATTAAAACTTGCCATCTGTTTTGCTTATATCAATCATTTATACACTGGCATTAAATGATTAAATACCTCACTCGCTTGTGCTGTGGACAGAACAGAGTAACCCTGCCTGTTTGAGTGTTAATACAACTATTCCTGCTGTGTAGTTGGGTAGTGTACAGCAGATGCTTCTGTTTGTTTAGCACTGTGCACACCTGAGTCGTGTTCATTAATCACCAACAACAGAGTAAAACAGGGAGGGGCTACCTGAACTTCCTCATAAAATGCACATTTTCGTTTTCTGTTTCAATTTTTATTTCAATGTTTTCGGTTGCGTACCCTAATGAACTATTAACCTGTGTTCTCTCCTCCCTCCAGATGAAGATCCAGGGGCAGAACAAGCAGATGCTGGCCGCAGCCTGTCAGATGTTCATGGGGAAGTCAGAGGGCGAGATCGCTCAAATAGCCCTGGAGACGCTGGAGGGTCACCAGAGGGCCATCATTGCCCACCTGACTGTGGAGGTAAACTTGACCTTTTTAGCACAGCTGTGCTGCGGTCGTTGGCACAAGGCGAAGCCGAGTACCTGCCGAGTAGAACTGTCTTGTGACATACCATAACAAACAGACCATAACAAACAGACCATAACAAACATACCATAACAAACAGACCATAAGAAACAGACCATAACAAACAACAAATGAAACAGTTTTATATATACAGCCGAACCATAGTCATATGGAAATCTATTTCTGGCTATGTGTTCAACTACATAGTAACATGATGGAGAGGGAACACTGCATCTTTTCACTGTCAAATGAAAGTATATTAACATAGGTGCTAACTCTGTTATTTCACCCCCTTCAGGAGATCTATAGGGACCGTAAGAAGTTCTCGGAGGAGGTGTTCAAGGTGGCCTCGTCCGACCTGGTCAACATGGGCATCAGCGTGGTCAGCTACACGCTCAAAGACGTTCACGACGACCAGGTGTGCTTTCTCTCTCTACTTTCAATGGACACTCCATTCTTGCAACTGATCCAATGCTAGGTAAATAATGGACACTAGATGGATGCCAGGTAAATAATCGACCCTAAACGAAAAGCATGTTGTTGTCTTCCTCTCTGTGGTTCAGGACTACCTCCACTCCCTGGGGAAGTCCAGGACCGCCCAGGTGCAGAAAGACGCCCGCATCGGAGAGGCCCAGTTCAAGAGGGATGCTGTGATCAGGGTGGGCCACCTCTCTCTTCTCTCCACTCTCTCCTTCTTTCTCTTCTTGAACCCTTTATCCTTTACCTTGCTCTTGTTTATTTCGGAATTCTCTATCATATTTCCTTTCGCTTGGTATTCCCTATCCGTTCTTACTTTTCTCTTTTTATATTTTAAATGTTTAGGGGGTAGATCAGCTTTAATATTGCAGATTGTAGCTTCCATCAATGTCATTGTCTGCATAGTTTCCAATCTCCCATATATGTTTTTGTAAATATACATATTCATACATACAGTTGAAGTCGGAAGTTTACATACACCTTAGCCAAATACATTTAAACTCAGTTTTTCACAATTCCTGACATTTAATCCTAGTAAAAATTCCCTGTCTTAGGTCAGGTAGGCTCACCACTTTGTTTTAAGAATGTGAAATGTCAGAATAATAATAGAGAGAATTATTTATTTAAGCTTTTATTTCTTTCATCACATTCCCAGTGGGTCAGAAGTTTACATACACTCAATTAGTATTTGGTAGCATTGCCTTTAAATTGTTTAACTTGGGTCAAACGTTTCGGGTAGCCTTCCACAAGCTTCTCACAATAAGTTGGGTGAATTTTGGCCCATTCCTCCTGACAGAGCTGGTGAAACTAAGTCAGGTTTATAAGTCTCCTTGCTCACACACGCGTTTTCAGTTCTGCCCACACATTTTCTATAGGATTGAGGTCAGGGCTTTGTGATGGCCACTCCAATACCTTGACTTTGTTGTCCTTAAGCCATTTTGCCACAACTTTGGAAATATGCTTGGGGTCATTGTCCATTTGGAAGACCCATTTGCAACCAAGTTTTAACTTCCTGACTGATGTCTTGAGATGTTGCTTCAATATATCCACATAATTTTCCTTCCTCATGATGCCATCTATTTTGTGAAGTGCACCAGTCCCTCCTGCAGCAAAGCACCCCCACAGCATGAGGCGGTTTTGGAGCAGTGGCTTCTTCCTTGCTGAGCGGCCTTTCAGGTTATGTCGAAATACAGTGAGGGAATTACAGTGGGGAGAACAAGTATTTGATACACTGCCGATCTTGCAGGTTTTCCTACTTACAAAGCATGTAGAGGTCTGTAATTTTTATCATAGGTACACTTCAACTGTGAGAGACAGAATCTAAAACAAAAATCCAGAAAATCACATTGTATGATTTTTAAGTAATTAATTTGCATTTTATTGCATGACATAAGTATTTGATCACCTACCAACCAGTAAGAATTCCGGCTCTCACAGACCTGTTAGTTTTTCTTTAAGAAGCCCTCCTGTTCTCCACTCATTACCTGTATTAACTGCACCTGTTTGAACTTGTTACCTGTATAAAAGACACCTGTCCACACACTCAATCAAACAGACTCCAACCTCTCCACAATGGCCAAGACCAGAGAGCTGTGTAAGGACATCAGGGATAAAATTGTAGACCTGCACAAGGCTGGGATGGGCTACAGGACAATAGGCAAGCAGCTTGGTGAGAAGGAAACAACTGTTGGCGCAATTATTAGAAAATGGAAGAAGTTCAAGATGACGGTCAATCACCCTCGGTCTGGGGCTCCATGCAAGATCTCACCTCGTGGGGCATCAATGATCATGAGGAAGGTGAGGGATCAGCCCAGAACTACAACGGCAGGACCTGGTCAATGACCTGAAGAGAGCTGGGACCACAGTCTCAAAGAAAACCATTAGTAACACACTATGCCGTCATGGATTAAAATCCTGCAGCGCACGCAAGGTCCCCCTGCTCAAGCCAGCGCATGTCCAGGCCCATCTGAAGTTTGGCCAATGACCATCTGGATGATCCAGAGGAGGAATGGGAGAAGGTCATGTGGTCTGATGAGACAAAAATAGAGCTTTTTGGTCTAAACTCCACTCGCCGTGTTTGGAGGAAGAAGAAGGATGAGTACAACCCCAAAAACACCATCCCAACCGTGAAGCATGGAGGTAGAAACATCATTCTTTGGGGATGCTTTTCTGCAAAGGGGACAGGACGACTGCACCGTATTGAGGGGAGGATGGATGGGGCCATGTATCGCGAGATCTTGGCCAACAACCTCCTTCCCTCAGTAAGAGCATTGAAGATGGGTCATGGCTGGGGTCTTCCAGCATGACAACGACCCGAAACACACAGCCATGGGAACTAAGGAGTAGCTCCTTCAAAGCTCCCACAAAGTCTGGGTCTGGTGGCCAGCAGTCTCCAGACCTAACCATAAAAATTTGGAGTAGCTAAGCCCTGTTTTCCCAGCTACAGCCCCAAACCTTTATGGATTGGAGAGGTTTGTTGGAGCACGGGCCAAAACCCTGCTGGCAAGTTTTGTGACAAACTGCTGGTAAATGCCCACATGTAACGAAGACCCTATTGCAACAAAGTTTTAATCCAGATATTAGTTCTTGATTTTGTGTACAATCCTATGTCCTTGCAATGATGCATTATTTTGTAAATGCAACCATTGATTCTCAGCAAAGCCCCGTTTTAGATTCCGTCTCTCACAGTTGAAGGGGACCTATTTAAATGCAGCCTCTACTGCTTTGTTATGGACCGAAATACAGTGGTGGTATAAATACTTGTTCTCCACTGATATATATATATATATACAGTGGGGGAAAAAAGTATTTAGTCAGCCCTAATTGTGCAAGTGTCCCACTTTAAAAAGATGAGAGAGGCCTGTAATTTTCATCATAGGTACACGTCAACTATGACAGACAAATGGAGAGAAAAAAGAAAAATCACATTGTAGGATTTTTTATGAATTTATTTGCAAATTATGGTGGAAAATAAGTATTTGGTCACCTACAAACAAGCAAATTTCTGGCTCTCACAGACCTGTAATTTTCTTCTTTAAGGGGTCTCCTTTCCTCCACTCGTTCCTGATTCCGCTGAACTGTTACATTAATGACCCTGTTTCAACTTTTAACAGTACAAAAGACACCTATGCCAAGACAAAGTCACAATGCACAGACATCCAAAATTCACCATGCCAAGGGAGGAAGACTGAATGCAACCAGAAACAATAGTTTGACCTGAAATCAACTGGGGAGACTATTAGCAATAGGAAGCAGCTTGGTTTGAATAATCAACTTGGGGCATTGGAAAGGAAGACTACAACCCCTGATAATTCCACGAACTGCACGGGGGAATGGTCAATGACTGAAGAGACTGGGACACAGTTCAAAGCAAAACTAGTAACACACTAGCCGTATGCGATTAAAATCCTGCAGCGCACGCAAGGTCCCCCCTGCTCAAGCCCAGCGCAGTCCAGGCCCATCGAAGTTTGCCAGACCATATAGGATGGTCAGAGGAGGAATGGGAGCAGGTCATGTGGTCTGATGAGAAAAAATAGAGCTTTTTGCGTCCTAAACTCCACTCGCCGTGTTTGGAGGAAGAAGAAGGATGAGTACAACCCCAAGAACACCATCCCAACCTGAAGCATGGAGTAGAAACATCATTATTTGGGATGCTTTTTCTGCAAAGGGGACAGGACGAATGCACCGTATTGAGGGGAGGATGGATGGGGCAGTATCGCGAGATCTTGGCAACAACCTCCTTCCTCAGTAGAGCATTGAGATGGGTCATGGCTGGGTCTTCCAGCATGACACGACCCGAAACACACAGCCAGGGCAACTAAGGAGTGGCCTCCGTAAGAAGCATCTCAAGGTCCTGGAGTGGCCTAGCCAGTCTCCAGACCTGAACCCAATAGAAAATCTTTGAGGGGTGAAGTCGTATTGCCGCGACAGCCCCGAAACCTGAAGGATCTGGAGAAGGTCTTGTGGAGGAGTGTGTGCAAATGTGCTGGTCAAGAGATACAGGAAGTATGATCTCTTAATTGCAAACATGTTTCTGTCAATATTAAGTCTGCTTTCTATGATCAAATACTTATGTCATGCATAAATCAATTAATTACTTAAAAATCATACAATGTGATTTCTGATTTTCGTTTTAGATTCGTCTCTCACAGTTGAGTGTACCATGTTAAAAATGACAGACCTTACATGCTTGTAAGTAGGAAACTGCAAAATCGGCAGTGTATCAAATACTTGTTTCCCCACGATAATATATATATATATACAGTGGGGGAAAAAAGTATTTAGTCAGCCACCAATTGTGCAAGTTCTCCCACTTAAAAAGATGAGAGAGGCCTGTAATTTTCATCATAGGTACACGTCAACTATGACAGACAAATTGAGGAGAAAAAAATCCAGAAAATCACATTGTAGGATTTTTTATGAATTTATTTGCAAATTATGGTGGAAAATAAGTATTTGGTCACCTACAAACAAGCAAATTTCTGGCTCTCACAGACCTGTAACTTCTTCTTTAAGAGGCTCCTCTGTCCTCCACTCGTTACCTGCATTAATGGCACCTGTTTGAACTTGTTATCAGTATAAAAGACACCTGTCCACAACCTCAAACAGTCACACTCCAAACTCCACTATGGCCAAGACCAAGGAGCTGTCAAAGGACACCAGAAACAAAATAGTAGACCTGCACCAGGCTGGGAAGACTGAATCTGCAATAGGTAAGCAGCTTGGTTTGAAGAAATCAACTGTGGGAGCAATTATTAGGAAATGGAAGACATACAAGACCACTGATAATCTCCCTCGATCTGGGGCTCCACGCAAGATCTCACCCCGTGGGGTCAAAATGATCACAAGAACGGTGAGCAAAAATCCCAGAACCACACGGGGGGACCTAGTGAATGACCTGCAGAGAGCTGGGACCAAAGTAACAAAGCCTACCATCAGTAACACACTACGCCGCCAGGGACTCAAATACTGCAGTGCCAGACGTGTCCCCCTGCTTAAGCCAGTACATGTCCAGGCCCGTCTGAAGTTTGCTAGAGTGCATTTGGATGATCCAGAAGAGGATTGGGAGAATATCATATGGTCAGATGAAACCAAAATATAACTTTTTGGTAAAAACTCAACTCGTCGTGTTTGGAGGACAAAGAATGCTGAGTTGCATCCAAAGAACACCATACCTACTGTG